TTATTATTTTCCCAACCTGACAAAACGTCAGCCCAACTGGTATGTTCATCTGGTAAATTATTTAAATTAATTTTACTACCAATATAGATCTTGCTATCTAGACCCATAATAAACCATTAGGGATCTTAAAAATAAGCAATGACTCCGTCAGCGTTAATTGAAAGCTTAGAAAGTACAGATAACGATGGTTGGTCTTTAATTAAAATATACTAATAGGTTTAAGAATTGCACAATACATATAATTTATGATAGAAATTATTTGTTTATAAATCCATTTGCTTTAATGAAATTTAATGACTGCAAATTTATAACTACGGTTTTGTTAAATCCAATTAAATCCAAAATAATGTTGACTGACTTGACTTGTATCAAGTAATTCTTATAGTACAAAAATAGTAACCTAAATTAACATAAATAAAAATAACAAGAACAATACCCTATTGTTTAAATAATTTCTGTAAAAATAGTTGTTTTGTAGAAATTATTTGTATATAAATCCATTTGCTTTAATGAAATTTAATGACTAAAAATATATAACTTATGATTTTGTTAAATCCAATTAAATCCTAACATTATTAACTTGATTTGTATCAAATAATTCTTATAGTACAAAAATACCATAGTGTTTAAATAAGAATTTCTGTACAAAAAAAAAATCAACAATACCAGATGCTTCATTACAAGTTGATAAATTGTGTAATCACTTTAAATTATCCAATTGTAAATAAAAAACATCCATAATTGGTTTAATCTACATTTTAAAATACATATTCTAACCAAAAGTATTGTCAAATATGAGTTCTATAAAATGCAGGTACAGTACTCTACAATTTCAAAGTATAACTGAGATTTAGTCTGTGAAAAAAAAGCATTATACATGAGATAAAAATCAATTGAGTATAATAAGGAAACAGTTGACAATATTCATTGCATATGAATTATTGATAACACTTCAAACGGCTTGAATATAAAAATATGCATTATGGTAATTAAAAACATATCAACTCGGTAAAGAGGTTTTTTAATGAACAATGCCGGAATTTCAATATTTTATCCTTAATGTTCCTGATGTAATTAATATAATGTGTGCTTTGAATATTATTTTTCCTCATTGTCAAATTAGACAAGCCTAAGAGAATTCAAAAGCAGCGAAAGATAAAAAAAAATTAAATTTATGTGAAATAGTCGGTACATGAAAGCAATATTTAAATCACTTGTTCTAATAGAGAAGATTACAGGGAGTAGAGTGGTATGTTATAATCAGACATAATGGATTAGGTTTATCAAATTAATTTCTAGTATTGAATAATAAAGTATGTAGATATTTAGAAAGAGATCAGTAGAAAATGATGGGATTAGTATCACTTGCATTTTGTGATAATGAACAAGACAGCGGCTTAGCTCAATCGGCTAAACTGGTGGTAGCCGGCCACTGCGTGTGCGCTGCACCGTAAAGATCTCTAGGTCCCTGGTTCAATTCCTATCACTGCTCTCCTGAAATTTTTACGAAATTTTTACGAAATTAACATTTTAATCTTTCCTATAATTGTTGTATCTTTATTTTGTGTAATGTTGTAGATTTTATTTTATATAAACAGCGCAACAACAGAATTACATGACAACATGTCGGAAGCATTTTGCAAGTGGTCCGGCCATTACAGTCAGAGCGGGAGGTGGGGGGTCTTAACAAATTTAGTTGTCCAAATTTGTGGGGTCTGAGAGCATCCACTTCAGCCCCCCCCCCCCCATAATTGTTGAACAACTTTTTTGCAACTCTGAATGCCCGGAAATAGATGCTGACAATGTGTAGGGCTGGTAGCCCCTCCCCTCAAGAGGCAGCCATAAGAAATAAAGTTAGCACGGAGGTAGAGATTATGTTGGAAATGGTACCTCTGGATGCCTGGAGATAGAAGCTGGCAAACCTGTATAGCCACCACCCCTCCCCATCCTGTCTATTGGCAGCAAATATTTAAAGTTAGTGGGGACTAGAGTTTATACCCCCTCAGCCCCACTATGTTTGGGGCTGAAGTGAGCAAATTTTGAAAATATGGCATCTAAATATAGCTACTTTATTGTCATAAAAATATGTAGTACCATGATATACACTGTATATCATACTTTTAATAAATTTATGTATATTAGAATATTTGCTCCCAACGTACATTATACTAGTATTTAATTTTCAAAGTTTCGTGGCTTGAATATAATCCCATAGCTGACTTGAGGATTTGTGAGTAATGTTCATGAGGTACCCTCCCTTAGGTAGATTTTTAAAGAATATGATCTTACAGGGAAACATATCCTTACTGGTATGATTCAAGGAAAAAAGAGAGATAACAAAAGCCTATAACCCTGTTTATGTCAGGTAGACTATGTAGGTACCTCCATGTACAGATCTAACAGGTGATAAAGACAGAGCACTAACATTCAAGGGCTATCCAGCTTTTTTGTAAGAGTGGTTTAATGTGGTTGGTATTACAGGGGGTTCAGGGGTCATACTGCGGAAACTTTGTTTACCTGGATGCTCGGAAAAAATATGAAATAGGCCTAATTATGATGATGATAACTGTGATAATGAGGATGATGATAATGATAATGATGATGTCGATGCCGATCATCGACGATGATGATGTTGGTAATGATTTTGAGTGATAAGACAGTAATATAGACTAAGTGAAGGGAGTCCAATCTACAATCAAGGAAAAATAATGGCCCCCGGTAAGGGTGCAGGGAAAGCTCCAAGAAAAATCACCAGTTTTGATTTGGTATAGACTAATTTGGATTTCTATATTTAGTCTTATAAAATAGTAATACTGTACTTCCAGAGATCAAGCCATATACTCCGATTGACATACGGGGACTAAAAAGCTGGACAAAAATTTGATTCTGGTTGTAGCGTATATGCTTGTTTGGAATTGATTTTAATCTAGTTATCATTGCTTTTCTTCGCATTGGAATTATTAATGTTGTTGGGTCGCCCACCCGTCACAAATCTGGACATCCCCCACCACCCCTCGTTTGACACCATGACAAGGTCATCAGACTAAATTAATATTCAAATCCAATCAAAGACGTTATTGTGATTGCTATTCCCTAATATTGTGGTCTAAAAGTATAATTTTGGGATGCCCGAAAATAGCAACAGGCAATTGTAGAGCCATTACCCCTCCCCAGCAAGGGGCAGAGACAACATGCCTAATGTGAACAAATTATGAAATTAATATGCATCTGTGACACTACAAAATAGCAGTTGGCAACCAAGAATAGCAAGTAATCTGGGCCAACTTCATCTGTATAAGCCTTGTGTGGTTACTACAACCCCCAACATTTTATGCATGGTTAATTGTAATTATATATTTATACCTCTAAACATTGTAAACATTTTTTCTTTCTTTTTTTAGTTGGTGTAGAATTGCCTCTTATTTTCCATTCTCTCCTATTTTATATTTTTAATTAAATGTAACATTTCTACCTTTAATGTAATCTTTGATATTTAATATGTGAAACTGAATATTCATGTAATTTTATGTATTTTTAATCTTTAGACATTTATTTTTAATATCATTTTGTATTTTTATGGCGACACTGTTTTTGGTGCTTTGACAAACTATTGGGTCTTTAATAAATACAAAAAAAATTAATTATGAACATAAAAGTGTAAGCCTAATAGAATTAAGAAAAAGTGGTCCGGCCAAAGCCGGTGCGGTTCCGACGGCCCTGGACAATGTTTCTGTTCACTTAAAATCCTGTCCCTATCTGTTATGTACAATTTTTAAAATATAAAATACACCTTTATTTAACATAAATATTATTAATCTAAACAATCCAAATCCAAACTTAGACTTACAAGGCACATTTACTATGTCTTTATGCTCTAGTATGCTTTAATAAAATGAAATAATGGGGAAAAAAGATATTCTTTAGGTAAACAATGCAGTGATGATACAATTTAAAGCAAGATATATTTAAATAGGTAGTGGTATTATTTTTCCACATTATGTGGGGCTTGTCATGCCGAAACCAGCAGTGTGACAAAATGACTTTCGAATATAAATACTCCACATTGTAAGCTTTAAAATGATGGGTCATTTACTGGATTAAATTTACTATTGCCTATGTTATGAGTAAATATATTACACTTCTCTGTACTAAAGTATACAATACTGTCACATTCTTATGCTAATTACTCAGTTTAAAGAACTAGCAACAGTACACTGGTTTTTGGATAGCAAGCCTCAAATTGTGGTAATATGAACTGGGAAAATGTCTGCCCTTTAAATGCCAGGTAATTCCCATAGTTTTCTATGACCCACTTGCCCAAAATTGTAATTTTTTGATGTTCTTATTTTGTGAATTTGTGACTGAATTGTTTTTTTATCGTATTTTTGATGTTCTTTTTTCTTGACCGATTTTTATAATTTTTGGTTTTATTAGACTTTGTACCTGAACTTTTTGTATTGTATTTTTTATGTTTCCTTCTGTTTTTTTTTATTGTGTACCTTTGCTGTAAATTTGTACTCCAATTCAGCCCTTTGGGCTGCTATTGTACTTTTAGTGGTTTTTTGAAATAAAGAATTGAATTGAAAAATACTGCTGTATGATTTCTGAATACTGTATTGCAATACAAATCCACCCACTGATATCCACCTCCTACGTTTAGAAATAGAATACATTTTAAGCTGCTATGGATGAAGACAGCATTAAATGTACCTTCAAGTTTTAAAAGCATCAGGACTTTAGTGTTTGCTTTAAAATAAAAGGTTAGGGCAAGTGGGTTGTTTTATTGGTACACACGGCTTAACACATGAAAATACGAAAAGTTATCACTCAAACTACAATTAATTTACAATCAAATAGATCTTTAAAACATTTCTTAGTACTCTGTATATATTATGATAATCCATTCAACGTATTAAAAAAAAAATTTGTTTAGAATGATACTAGTGCTTTGCTATGTACCTTTTATGTATTCAAACTTTCTTATGTTTTTATTTTTTCAGCATGATCAGGTCACCAGTGATTTAAGAAGTATTGTATATCTTTATTATTAAGTACCTAGTGAGACATGGTAGGCTGATGTTGAACAGTTACTGTGGAAATCCTGACAAATACAACAGTGGATATGCGCACAGAATAAATCTGTTACCAACATTCTTCTAGTACATTGAATATTAAACTGTGCTTTTAGCAGATGAAGCAGAAAAACAAATATTATACTCATTTTATCTATAAAAGCAGACCAAAATTTCTATAAAAAAAAAGTGGATTGGCTGTAATAGTTGGAATAGTTTTCTCATCAGAATGAGAATGACTGGGCTAGATTTAATTTTGGCGATCACTGTATTATATGCAACTTCTATGGAATCTGTTAATGCACAGAATTTAGTTTCAATAATGATGTCAGATGATCAAACTCTAGTGGAAGGAGAGACGGCAAAATTCTATTGTACAACTGACATGACAGAAAGGACTTATTGGAACTGGAAAAAAGATAACAAAATTATTGGTGAAGAAAGAGACTTGCGGGTATATGTTAGCTTAATTGCTGATAATATGCTACAGCTAATGATAGCAAAAGTCCAAGTTGAAGATGCAAATTATAATTTCCAATGTTGTATCAAAACAAATGAAATGCTGGTAGAGAAATGTAAAAATTTGAGGTTTCCATCAATTCTTGAAGTACCACATGACACTTATCCAACGTGTGAACTGAACAAGAATCCTGCAATTGTTGGTGAACTAGCAACTGTTGAATGTTGTTGTGAAGTTATCAACCCGATGCCAACTTTAACATGGGTTGGGGTTTCATCGGTTGAACGTAATATCCATGATAAACTCGAATGCATCTCACATACATTCAAGGTGAAACGAGATCACGAGAAAGAGCCAATGGTGTGCGAAATGACAACAAATACAACAAAGAGAATACAGAGAAACTGCACCAGCGGGAAAATTCAAGTTCTGTACAAGCCAGATGTAAAGATACAGGGTGATCTGCCATTCCAAAAAGATACTGAAGTGGTTTTGATTTGTATAGCGGTGGCCGATCCGCCTGACAGAAAATACCATTGGTCTTTCAACCGGCCATTATCCAATGGGGTCTTGAAAGAAAATGGTATGGTAATCCACCTAAAGTTAACACCAGAAGATGAAGGAACTGTTATTACATGTGAAGTAGAAAATAGAATTGGAAAAGGAAGTGCAAATTTAACGGTGCATATTGGAAAGGCAGGCACAACACAGAAAGTACCACCTGGTCAAGGGCCATCTTATGTGAACACTCCACCAACAATGACCGAGGATTCTACAATTCTGGCAATTGTGGGTGTTAGCTTACTTTTTGTGTCGTTCGTGATTGCTGCTGCACTTTGCTATTTTGTGCTCTTAACCCCAACTCCACGCCACCCCTTGGACTATACAGGGAGCATTATCCCACAACCAGACATCTATTTTGAGCCAAAGGATAACATAGTCGGTAGCTCCACAAGTACAGGCCAACGCCACGTTGGCATCCAAGTGCCCGGTGGAGTGGACTCGGAACCGGTTTATATGGAAGTTCCAGGTTCAGACAAGGGAAGCCAATCACAATATTCAACAAGTCGATCTGTTTACGTATGATAACTCACAATATATTGTTCTATATATACTGTAAATAAGACCAGAAACTGTGAACATTAAGTCAAACATTAACAACAATTAACAGACATTTATAATGTACTGGTAATTAGTTGAAGATGCTCATAGTGCAACAAAAAGTCCGAGCTTCAATTATTATTTTTATGTAATGTATATAAAGTATATATTATACGTTTTTACATCCATCCTGTAAGTGGCGAAATATAGCTGTGGATTTGGAAATAATTATATAACATAAATAGATTTAAAAAGGCTTATATCAATAAAATAAGTGACCAAAAAAAAAAAATGCACAAAACACATCAGGTCTGTGCCATCAATTACTTTCTTCTTTTAATCTAATAAAGTTTAAAGATCAAAGTAAAGTATCATCTATTCTGTACCCCTCAATCAGTGGCATATCTGGGGTGCATGCGGAAACACATCCTCCCAAAATATACTTGTTAGCGACCCCACACCTAATTAAGCTCCACCACTTCACCTTCGCACCACCCCATTTCAAGACTACTTCGCCACTGTCATCTATTAATTCGTTATACCCACTTCATATTATTCAATTGATTTCAAGCAAACTCATTCTTTCGCAGTTTACATTCCCCACAATGCACTTTCACCTTCATAAAAACATATCCCTTGAATACAAAGTAAAATATATTTGACCTAAACTTGAAATAATCTAATGTACCTATCAATGTTAAAGAATCTGTACCAAAAAGTCTTCACTTGTATTTAATACCAGCATTGAATTATATTTACAATGATATCTTCTTGTAACTTATACATTTAAATGACAATTTGTTGAATTATCTTGATTTATTTATTTATTTATTTATTATTTAATTTTATTTTGCTGCGCATGGTGATACCCATCGGCACTGACTTCCGTGGGACAATTTATAATAAAGTAGAAAAACCTGCAAATATTACAAATTTGCGGGAGTTGGGTTATTTCCTGGGAGCTTCTTGCTTGATTGGGGGAGGCTGTCCTGATCTCCGGGAGGCTCCTACGAGTTCCGGCAGACCTGGGACCCCGGTTGCTGTGTTACCTTTGTTCAGGGCATGAATGACACAAGCAATTGTTGTTTTTTTTTTTTATCATACCTTATTCAATTGATTTTTAAAATAAATTCTGTATAGCTATTTTGTGATCTTTGAATAAAATAAATGTTACTTTTGATGTATGCTTAAATCTAATAGATATCCCACTACTGTATGCCACCACTGTGGCTTAGTGGATATACATCCAAATCATCATTGCTTGTCCAAATTATGCTGCTTAGCAAAATGAAAAACACAACTGTATGCTTTTTGAAATTGTTCAAATATTTTTTAGTACAAATCGTTTTTCTGTTTAATTCTGTTTTTTTACTTAATCACCAGTAACATTATAAGTAAGGAAGTCAGTATTCCCTAGTCTTTAATGACTTATTCTTGTAAAGGGAACACTGCATCTCTTGTTAATAAAAAAAAAATTATGGTATCAATCACAAGAAGATACGAATGGTTTGGAGGAAATAAGATGTTCTCATTTACCCTTGCAATATTTTGTGACAGAATACTAGAGGTTTCAAAATGTATGCCTACTCTGTATCTAGTATTATATAACCCACAAATAATGCTGGTACTGACATCTTTAAATATAGACTTTTCTGATGCTAGCTGACATGGTTTCTTCCTATTGATATCAGTTATCAAGATTACTTACGTGGATTCAAAATTATAAATAGATTTCAAGCAAATTCTATACTAGTTATATTGCTGAACATGCATTAAAAAAATAACTGGGTTTCTATTACAATTAGGTAAAGCAACTGAAGTTATGAAATCCTACACAAGTATAACTTTGGTAGAGATACTTCTCTAATAATAAGCTGACCATGCAAAGATTTTCTGTGTAACATCCTTGAATTACCTTCCTTTTACCGTTTTAAACAAAAATATTTCTATTGAAATGTAATACAGATAGGAAATACTCTATAAAGTGAAATTTGTAATTTGTTATTAATTTTGAATTTTCTAGAATACTTTCACAAGTGTACCTTTACATGAATATGATAATGTCAAAACCATTAGCGAAGAAAAAGGCACGGTACATGGGCAAAAGCATCCAGCAAAATTAATAAGAAACTACTTTAGATGTGTTTCCTATTTGTATTGTTTCAATAGAAATATATCTGTTGAAATAAGGTTTTTGTATACTGTAAATTTATGATTTTGTTTGATATTCTTTGCTAGTGTACCATTCCTGAATATGACAACGTCAAATTGGTTTTCATTATGTTTTAACTGTTGAATATGATGGATAGAAAGTATAAATTAGTCTTAAAATGTAGATTAGCACCAAAACAAGGTCCATTGCATGATGAGAAAAACCAATAAAAACACTAAACAAAGCATACTGTATGCTAAAAAACAAAGAATTGTTCAAATTAAAACCATAGTAAAATAACACATACTGTATAAAAATGTTTAAAAGCTCAACACTTAGATCAAAGTAAATTTTGAAATAATTTTCTGTTTATGATTGGTTAAAATGTACTAAAGTACTTTTAATTTCTCATAATAAATTTTTATAGTTTACATAATATTTTGCAGTGTTGAAAAATCCATTGTTTAATACAAAGTTTTATAATTTCATAATTCAATTCGAAATTTCTACATTATATTATATAAAGTTTGTTTATTATAGTTTCCTTTTAAAATACATTAAACTGGAAAGCCTATATAGCATTTCAGTCTCGGAAACAAAAGAAAATTTGTGTTACAAAATCAGCAGGTCTCTAATCGGCAATCTTAAGAAGGAAAGTTTATCCGAAACAAAAACTATGGGAGTCCTTAATTAAGTAGTTATAGGATTTGTATGGAACACATCTCAGAAGCTTTTAAAGTGTTAGTGTATTTATGGAAACGTGCGACTGATCCAAACATTTAAAATAAATCTTGTAAAGTAACTATCAGTTTTTTTGCTTTTTTCTTTTTACGAGAAACTTTAAATAATAAATCTTGACCAGGATGTTGCCAGGTTAACAGCATACAGTAACATTTTACAGAAAGGTTCACAAGCAGCACATAACTAGTTAAACATTATTATCACTATTTTTTATCATCATTTTTATTATCACTAGAATTTATATTTGAGCTTTTTTATTGAACAAAGCAACCATACAGAAACTAATAAAGGTGGATATAGTAATGTCATTCATTATCGTCAACAGTGGCAGATCCAGCAGTGACGAATACAAGAGGGCCTTGCCAGCCCGCCCCCCACCCCCCACCACACCACTAAATTTTTCAAAATAATAAAAATGGGAAAAAAAAAAAAGAACATTATATTTTAATTTAAAGTCTGGGAGTGCCATTTCCGGCCATCTAGCGGTGCCATAATCATAAACTTTCTTAACTCAGCCCCAACCATCGTGGCGCTGATGTGAAAGTCCCTCCCTTGGCATCCCTCTATCTCAAAATCCTGGAACCACCACTGTCCAGTATTCGTTTTTGTAAATTGTTTGTAGTACACATTTTAATATATCCCTACAAACTTTCACATTATAATAAATGATAAATATCTAGATGTGTTTGCTATAGTGAGTTTATTTTTTGGTTAAAATTACTCAAGAAAAAAAAACAGTTTCTGAACTTTGAATAAGAAATTAATTAATTTGATTTTCTTTAAGAATAAGAAGTTCAAAAGTTCACTCCTTTACGCATCCTTAAAGCGAAGAACAGTAGACGATGAACTGGACATTTAATAGCACTTCGATGATTATCCACTAGCTGTCATCACATCTTTAGAATAGCACATCAGTACTTAGAAGAAGAAGATTTATTCTCCTACTGCTTTCATGCGGAAAAAACACTTCAAACCACTTTTGTTTTGTCAGAGTAGCAGTATCAGTAAAACCTTCATTAGCAATAGAAAAGTAAACAGAAGATTTATGTAATTGCGTTATTGAAAGGTAACACTTAACGGCATTACGCGAGCAAAGTGTTATCTCTCAGCATGCCGACAATTTAAGGTGATTTCACACAGTGCGATATCTCCCCGGGTGAGTTATCTTTCCAAGGCCACCATGCAATAAAAAATCCTGTAAATCTAAAGCCAATACGGCAATGGAGAGCAGGGGTTTTCTATGAGCAGAATCTTTCATTCACATGTTTCATGTTAAATTTTCGAAAGTATTGATAACAGTTTGTTTTTGTCAAAATTGTTTGTAAGATATACAATAAATAGAATTAATTTATTAGTGGTAAAACATGTCACAAAACATTTTAATGAAGGTTACATTTTTTTAACTATGTATTCATTCAGGCCTGTTACAGTAGATGTCATAAAGAACAGAAACATTGACAATTTGTATTAGAGTACCCCAATGAGCAAATTCTCATCAGAGAAAACCAATTACTGTACTACATTAATGTTTTCCTGGGGATGAAGAGGTTAGAGGTAAAGGAAGAGATCTGATGTGTAGCTATAAGAAATTTAATGAGTTTTGGATGACTAATCAGGATCTGGTCAAATTTTGTTCTCTCCACCATTTTTTTTTGATAGGTTATATATTAATGTATCATCACTGCATTTTGTAAAAGGAATTCACATGGTTAAAATATTGTGTGAGCAAATAAAGGTATTATTATTAATTAATAATAACAACAAGAGTATTTTATTAAAGGAGTTAGTATACTTTGTATTAACATATTTGGTCATTAAATTATATTAAAATTTCTTTATTATCAAGTGTGTATGTAATCATTGTGTGATGTTATATGAATTAATTAAATATAACAAAAATATTATAAGACCATCAAAGAAAATGTTATCATATTTGAATTAACAATTGGAAGTGCTCTTCTAAACATAAGGCAACCCCTACTATTAGTGTCTTGGAGGTCAAGAACCTTGGATGGAAATATATTCAAGATTCAACCTGTATATTGCCAGCATGGGAAATTATCTGTCTACAATAAGCAAACAAAAAGTTCACATATGTATGGACGTTCTATATTACAATAGCAACTGTTTATGCATTTCTAGTGTAGGCTATGGGAATAAGGTACTTTTAAAGGACAGCTGGTAAAGGAAATTAATATAATGACTAACATTTTCTATAAACATTATTTCACAGTGGTATATCCAGGAAATTTTATAAAGGGGATTCATCCTCTGAACAATGCAAGGCAAAAAACTAGGAAGAGAGTATTTCAATGGCTTGTGGAACCATATCGATGAGAGCACAACAACATACCACTCTTAAGATTTAGAAAAAGATATTTTAAACATAATTTTAAGTTTATTTGGTAGTATCTTTGGTTTTTTTTGGTTTTAAGTTTTTCTGTTTTAAGTTTTCATGATATGTAAAAGGTACATATATGGCCTTGTAGAAGAATCTTGGTGATCGAGCTCTGTTGTAAAAGAAAGGTATTATTATTATTATTATTATTATTATTATTATTATTATTATTATAGCTATGACTACATTATAAATTGGTTTTATAATGTCTAAAGTAACTTACCTTGCTATTTAGTTGAATGAATTTACTATTGTTTTTTTTTCCATGTTTGAACAAAAAAAAAGGGATCATGAGCAGTCCCCTAGTTATGCCACTGTTTCAAATTAAAATTGTTACTTTTGTTTCGAGGTGTTTTGAATGAGTCTGGTGAGACAAAATATAGATTTGTTGCACTGTAATTAATTTTATTGAATGTACATCAAGGTTTAATACTCAAATGTCAAATAAAGAAAATGTAATTATACTGTAAAAATTGTTCTAATCATATTGATTGTTACTCTCAATATGGATTGTAAATAAAAAGTACAATAACTGAAATATGTTTATCTTTCATTTTGTACATTACAAAGTTTTTCTTTCTGAAAATTCCAGCACATTAGTGACTATCTGGATTTTTAAAGAAATTTTAGTTTCAAGCTACACCACACAGCCCAACAATTCCCCCAAAAAATGTTTTTGAAAAAATGACATTAAATCTTGTTTCATGTTTAGTTCACATAAACCACATACAGTGTCTTTCATTACCGCATAGACACATAAACTACTACTTTACAGGTTATCAAACTCTCAATTGCTGTTTAAGATCCCCACACACGGTCAATGGAAATAGTATTCTTTGCCACACAATACTTAAGACTTAAAGTTTAGTATTATGATTACGACAAAGATACTGATAATGATGATTGAAATGAAAGCATTAAGACAATTATGATAAAGTTAAAAATGGATTTAATGGTAATGAGGGTAATCACCAATCAAATAATTAAGTTTAATATTGAGGTTTACACAAATGCAATGACTACAAGCTACAACATAATGGAATATATATATATGGGGCTTGCTATCTCAAAACCAGCATCAATATACCAAAAAATGAAAATTCACTTTTTAATATATTCTATTCTACACATTGTAAGCTTTAAAATGATGGGTAATTTACTGGAATTGACTTACTATTGCCAAACTTTCATCGGCCAACTGAGTGCGAACACTGGATGTACTCCTACTGACCTAACAAATGCAATAAAAGATCATAATTGGTGGCGTAAACGAGTAAAACAATCCTCAGCATGCTCAACTAGATGATGGCCACATATCTATTTGCTTAAAATTTGTATTTATATATTAAATAAGACATCAACCTCTATTGGGATAGTGGTAGACCGGTCTTTTTTTCAAAATTCTAATGAAAATGTCGTAATTCCATCTTTGTAAAGAAAGACAACATGCATAGGGTGCCATTTGGCCAACCTCAGTCTCAATATATGGATCTGTTGATAAAAGTTGAATGTTGTCATCATCGCAGTGGCTGCCATTGACATCATTGTCGAAATCATCCTCATCACCATCGTCATCACTATCATCATCATCATCACCACCACCACCATAATCATCATCACCATCATCTTCATCACCATCATCATATTTACTATCACCATCACCATAATCATCATCATCATCCTCACCAAATTATTATTCTTATTAATATTCTTCTATTATTTATTATCGCTTTCCTAAATATTAGCATGAAATGTGATAATGATAATGATGCAATGACAGCCAGAACCATGTTATCTTCTATTAAGAAAAGTGAGAACAAAATTTTACTGTAGGCTGGTATACTGGTTATGTCTCCATTATACAAATGTGGCAACACAATCTTGGAAATTAGGTATTGTGTGCAGCCACACTATATTGATCTACTCAACCTAATTTTAGAAATAAATGAATTGAAAAAATAGCAATAAATTTTTATCTGATAATATCATAAATATAACATTTGAAATTTAGATATTATGCAATATCTATAGAAACAAAATATTATGAAAAGGAAATTTTACAAAATAAATAAGACTTAATAATATTTTTTTGTGTGCCTTTTCTATAAGTATTATGCAATGTCTTTAATTATTTATACAAATAGTTATCGAAAATTTAATAGGTTTCATAGGATTGTAATATTTTTTTAAGAGCTATAACGGAAATAATAAAATTTCTAGTACCTCAGTACTTTCTATACAGAAAAAATAAAGCTAAAATATGAACTACTATTGCACTTTTTATCATAACATTTGAAGGATATTAATCAATATTTAAAAAAAAATTGCATAAGGTATTATTATTAAAGTTGTACCATAAAATATGCAGTTTCTATGATGTATTAAATGGAGCCGTAGGCTTGCCTTCAATTGCGGGTTCAACTCCCATGACCAAAAGCAACTCAGCTCAGACTTAAGCCGGGCACACAGCACTGATGGCAGACTGTTTACATGTCTCATACATATGATTTGCGTACAAAAAAAAATATCTTGTCACTCCTTCAGTAAGACTGGCAATTAGTCAAAGTTTCATAATGGCAAATGGACCAAACCTATGGAACAATTAGGACACACTTCAAACTATATTACGTCCAGCAATTTGTTAAGACTTAAAACAAAAATTAAACAAGAGCTTATGGAAAATATTATCCATCTATATTTGCCTACTTAACCTAACCATAATTAAAAAAATGATTATGAAATGTAACTGCTAAAATTCCTGAACCATGAGAGAGAAAACAGTGTAATACTTTAATACGTCTTATCTTATTATTTATTTAATATATATAGAAACGTGAATTAAGGCATATTTCAAAGCATTTTGAAAGTAAATCTCTATATAAGCATATCCAAATTGTCATACTGTCTTTTTAATTACTATATATTTTGTTAAGAGGGTCCTCTGAGACAGAAACTGGTCTCTATGTTGATTCTCGACCATAGTAAATGTTCGCTTATTTTGATATGTATGTTGTATTATTGTTATTTCCGTCAATTATGGTCAGTAACATATCTATAGATTGAATTGAATAGTGTAGAGTTGTAGACAGAGCCTGATGAGTGTGAAATAATAGCTATAAATATAGTTACAAACATTATTTTTAATATGGCAAAATAAGCTTGGTATATGTTACAATAATGGGGACAATAATACATCTAACAGAGAAATACACATTCTTTTTAGTATGATTGAAAATTTCTTATCAAAAATTGTAATAGGAAATGATTATAATGAAACAACAGATGGCAAAAAAGCGTTGACCATCTAGAGACCCATGGTAGTAGGGTAAAGAGAAAGCAACTTGTACACTGACCTACAGACGCTGAGAGGCGTTAATTTAGCAGTGGATAAAACAGCTGATGATGGCCTAAGATGGGAATAAATATTTGGATGATGGTTTTGCAGTCCCGAGAAGGCTCAAAGAAGTCATGAGGTAAATTGATTCTGATGTTTTCCTTTAAAAAATAATAGCTAGTTAACATTTATAAATTTTGTTTGTAACAAAGATGATAATAAATATTTTAGAAAAATGTCTCCCATCAGGATTCGAACAAAAGACTTTCCGATTACTCTTCAGATAGTCTACAAACTGAGCTGTGAGGCCAATTGGTATACACGCTTAGATTTTCCCATTAAGATAGGTTTTTTTTCTCAAGGTATTCATTGCTTATTATGCAATATTGCATAATAAGCAATTAATAATAGTAAATCACATGAAAGTAACTTTGGTATGAAGATACAAGTCCATTGGTGTTAATTAAAGATGATAATAAATATTTGAGAAATCAAGTATTTTTTTACAAAAATTATGCCGCATGTGTTGCTCATCACCAGACTGTCATATGTGCTCTGTCATACGTTCCAACAATTTGCTAGTAAAAAACGGGAGAAGTTGGCGCGAAGCGCCACTGAGGGCTTTTGCTTTTCGGGGAGGGGGTTCAGAAGGGGTACACTCATTACATGGGGGTCCAGTGGGTGTAACCTCAGTGGTGCGCCATATTCTTCAGGGGCTTCGCTGCCCTGGAACAGTTTCAGGAGATTTTGAGCGATGCCCGACCACACCCACTTTTTTTGTTGAGGACATCGGCCTCCCCTATTTAATGTGTTATAATTTCATAAGGGTAAATCTCATGATTCTTACGCTTATTTATAGTCTTTAATAATCAGACACCAATCATGAACCAGTGGATATATATATATATATATATATACACATATATGTAAGTATATTACAATCAAACACTATTGTGACAGTACATTTCCCAGGTGAAATAGTACCGAACGATATTTCGTTCTTGACCTAGGCCTATCCATCTCACGCAAAATAAGGGTCACCTGCTAGGTCAACAAAACGGATGTTTTGATTTTGAACACATTGCATTGTTGTCCAAAATTTTGCATGATGGGATAACAATTTGTAGGGAATTTTAAAATAATTTATTGGAGAAATTATCGAAGAAATTACAAGTGCTACGGAAACACGGCCTAAACTTTTCGATAAAAGATGAAGTAAATTAGTAAACAAAATTATCATTGGTGATTTTTGTTCTTAATTTTAAAATCATTACAGATAGATTGATATTTTAGCCATTTACCTCAAAGCACTAATATATCAATTTATAAAAATCATTAATTTTAACTTCATGGGGCATTAGCTTCAGTTCGTGAATATGATTTTGTCAATGTATGAAATTCATGATTGTTAATAAATATTAGAGAGTTCATTAGAAATATAAGCGCGCTTTTAAACAAGAGGTAGACTGTATGAAACTTATTTAATCTCTTTAGCATCTACCTGTATGCATTATTCTCAGTCACCCGAAATACAAATACCAGTACATTAATTAAAGATTTTGAATATTCATACACAGTTCTTGTTAATTAACTTCTAGCTTGTTTACAACGTTGACTAACAAAGTCTGCATTTGGGACTTTAATACTAACAAACTATGATTAGTGATAATAAATAGGAAAAAACGATTATAATATGATTAATGTGACCTGAAGCAGCCACAAATTGACTGTAAATCAGAACATAGGAGCTTTTCCTCATTAACATGCAGTGGCGGCACCAGCGGGGGGGCAGGGAGGGCTTAAGCCCCCACCGGACAGGTCAAGGCCCCCCCCCCCCCGCCGGACAGAGCTCGTCGGGCAGTCAGACCATAAAACATATAAAAATAGGCCCACACCAAGCCAACACATGTCTGTCACAGTCTGAGAGTGCCATTATCAGCCATCCAGAGGTTGATATTCTTTAAAAAATCTCATTCGGGAGGGGGAACCCCCTCTCAACCAGTTCATCCAGCTCGAGCCTAGGAGCTCAAGTCCCCCCTGTTGGACAACTGAGACTTGAACTAGGGCTACAATGCAGAGGTGATTGTCAAGTTGAGAGCTTTAACCACAATAGAACCCAATCCTCAGTCGATTTTCAGTCTATCTACCTTCTGAAATTTTATAGGCTGAGGGTGAATATTGTTTAATACAGTAATAATCACAAA